GATGACGGCATTTAATACAAGATATGGCCTATTTGAAACGCTAGTGATGCCTTTTGGTCTATCCAACGCGCCGGCTACGTTCCAAGCTCGTATCAACGAAGTATCACGCCCGTTTCTCGACATTTTTTGCACTGCTTACATTGATGATATCCTAATCTATTCTGAGGACCGACTCTCGCATCGATCGCATGTCAATATGGTGCTTGATGCTCTAGGTAAAGCCGGACTACACTGCGACATTAAGAAATGCGAATTCGAAGTTCAAGAAGTAACATACCTGGGTATGATAATCTCCACCACAGGTGTAAAGATGGATCCAAAAAAAGTGCAATGTATCGTTGATTGGAGACCCCCCTCGTGCCTTAAAGATGTTCAAGGCTTTTTAGGATTTGCCAACTTCTACAGGCGATTTATCAGAAATTTTTCAAAGATTGTCAGACCCCTCGTATCACTCACGCGGAAAGATATTAGATTCTTCTGATCTGATACATGCCAGAAAGCATTTGAGTCTCTCCAGAGATCTTTTATTTCCGCCCCAGTCTTGCGCCACTTTGACCCCTCAAAGGAAATATTTGTGGAAGCAGACTCATCTGATTTCGTCTCTGCAGGAATTTTGTCTCAAAAGGATAATACCGGTGACCTACATCCAGTCGCCTTCATGTCAAAGAAACTTGAGACCGCGGAATGCAATTACGAGATCTATGATAAGGAGCTTCTAGCAATTGTTAGATGCTTTGAAGGGTGGAGGGCCGAACTCCAGGGCTCCAATTACCCGATAACCGTCCTAACAGACCACCACAACCTCCAGTACTTCATGACTACAAAAGAGCTCTCAAGGAGCAGTGTTATTAGTATTCCGTAGGGTACGAATTTGGTACAAGTAGGTTACAGGTGTGGAGTATGGTGGTGATTCCTAAGAGTAGGAGGTATAAATTCAGCGTTAGGTATAGGGTTCACGTAAGAAGTAAAGGTAAAATAAGTAGTAGGTGAGAAGGGTACAATAACGGCGGTCTTCTTTAGAGAAGAGATAAGTAAGTGAACAATAGGTATGAGTATAAACAGAAGACGTTGCGTGAAGAAGAATACTCCTTCACGCTGGGTATATATGTACATCAGATAATAGGACAGCCCTAAGCCCTGTCTCGAACAGTATTACTACGCATTCCCTATGAAACTACCCTATGTTCCTGAGCCTATCCTAATTGTTTGAGAACTTGATCTAACCCCGAGTTGTGTTTTAGAATGGAACTCCCCATGAGACACCATCCTAGTTTCCGCCACGTTTATCCATGAAAGGAGCTTTCTAGACGTCAAGTTCGATGGAGTGAATTTCTATCCCAATTCAACTTTATCATCATGCCTCGATCGGGAAAAGATAACACAAAAGCAGATAGTTTGACCCGACGCTCTCAAGACATCCCAAGTAACAACTCTGACCCCCGAATACAGTACCAAAGGCAAACTCTCCTTACCCCTGAAAACCTCCATGAGTCTGTTGTAGAAGTTTTAAATGATACAGAGAATCGGCCTAAACTCATCTCTAACACGGTCCCAAATCTATCATCAAGTACACTTGTGGAAAATTCTGAAGTACCACTAGATCAAAAGATTGCCAACTTATTTGACCAAGGTTACAAGAGTAAAGCGGACAAATGGCTAACAAAAATAATCGCAGAACTAACCAAATCCAATGGAGTTCCTCACTCAAAAGACATCTCACTCTCTGAATGTGAGGTTCGCAGCGGCCGTCTTTATTTCCGAGATAGACTCTATGTGCCTGACAACGAACTGAGGCTCCTACTTATACAGACCGCTCACAACAGCTGCGAAAAGGGCCACCCTGGAAAGAATGCTCTATACCACACTATATCAACTCACTACTGGTGGCCACGCCTCTCCCAACAAGTAGAACGATTTGTGAAAAACTGTCACAATTGTTTGAGAAATAAAGTGTCTCGTTTAAAGTATCAAGGAGCTCTAAAACCTCTCCCTCTCCCAGATCAAAGATGGCGCGACCTGTCAGTAGATTTTGTTGGTCCATTGGCAGAATTTAAAAATTTCAATTGCATAATGGTTGTGGTTGACCGCCTCACTAAGGAGCGACACTACATACCTTGCCATACTAAGATTAAAGCAGGGGAGTTAGCTAAAATATTTGTTCGCGATGTCTGGCGACTCCATGGCTTATGTGACTCAATTGTGTCCGACAGAGGCCCAATTTTTGTAGCTGAGTTTTGGAGAGCAGTCTGTAATTGCCTCCAAATAAAAGTTTCGCTATCTACATCCTACCATCCGGAGACAGATGGCCAGACAGAGAGTGCTAATGCGTTTATGGAGCAATACCTGAGGCTATATATTGATTACTCGCAAGAAGATATTTACGACTGGCTACCTATGGCTCAGTTTGCAGCCAACAACGCAGTCAATACTTCTACACAAGTGACACCGTTTTTTGCAAATAAGGGGTTCCACCCACGAATGAGTTTTGGACCCCCACGGGAAATCCTCAGAAGCTCTTCAAAAAGCCTTCGTAAACAAATCACTGCTGGAAATGACTTTGCCTCCAAAATGGCTGAGATTCTCGAAATACTACGATCCAATCTTACATGCGCCAGAGATAAGCAGGAGAATGCTTCAGTATCAAATCGCTCGCCTGCACCAGCATACCGAGTTGGCGACGAAGTCTTTCTTGACACTCGTAATATTACTACTTCCCGACCAATTGAGAAACTCGACTGCAAATTCATCGGACCATTTCGGGTGATTAAGATAATTAACTCCCACGCCTACAAGTTACAGCTCCCATTTGAATATGAAAAATTACACAATGTTTTTCACACAAGCCTCTTGAGACCAGCGCCCACAAACCCGTTACCAGGCCAGGTAAATCCTCCACCTCCACCAATTGCACTCGACGAATCTGGGGAAAAGCTGTACGCTATCGAAGCCATACTTGACTCAAAACGTGGTAAAAACAAAAAAAACTTTCAGTATCTGATACTCTGGAGAGGCTATGATTCAGAAAATCAGACATGGGAACTACTCAAGAACGTTGTAAATGCGAGTGCCTCGATAAAGGAGTTCGAACGACGCTTTCCTCACAAGATAAAGCCGAGTAGTTCTGAGATTGAAAGAGCACGCAATCTAGCAACCAAGTCCACTTCTCTGATACCTCTCAATAATTCGTGAGGTGCCCCGAGACGGGAGTAAGGTGGGACCATATGTTAGGGTATTGCTACATTTAGATAGGGTCACGTGTGATTAGGGAATCGCGTAGAGCGCAAACGCGTCTGTATTTAGTTACTCTCTAGCCTCAGGTGGACCACCTTTCCTCCTTGTAGACAATCTCATTCACCAGATTTGACCTTGTTAATCTTCCACGTACCCATACCTTGACACAGTGGGCAAAAACGCACGGAGTCAGATTTGCGCCTGAGAAGTATCAACTAATGCATTTCTCACGAGCTCGGAAGAGACATGATCTTAAAGTAACAGTCCAGATCCAAAGTCACACTACAGCGCCACAGCCTTCCCTGCGCGTCCTTGGAATCTACACTGATCCGAAGCTCAACTGGGGGGCGCACATCAAAAGTCTGAAGCTGAAAGCTGAGACACAGGTCCAGGCCATAAGTAGGCTGACGCAGTCCACGTGGGGAGCCACATTTCACAAATCAAAGCTGCTTTATAGCGTAATAGTGAGACCAGCCCTTACGTATGGGTCGCCAATCTGGGCTGAGGCCGGGCCAGGAGGTAGAATACTCTAGAGGACAGTCAAACCCCTTCGAAGCTCTAAAAGAAATTGTCTGAAATTAGTAACTGGAGCATACAAATCGACAAGCACCAGGGTGCTGGAACATGAAAATACTACTCTTCCGATGGAAATCTACTTGAAGCAACAAAGGGCTCAGTATGTAGGCCGCTCAAATTCTCTACCAGTTCAAAAGACTACTCAATTAGCATGTGCTAAAATAAAACTTCCCAGAAGAGGAAGAGAAGGTATTAGAGCACATAATAGAAGAGCAGACCTTGCATACTGGAAAGAGATTTGCGGAGAGGAGAAATCCAAGGACTTACAAAAAGAAGCGATGAGAGTTGCAGCGTACCTAGAATGGGCGAAATCTTGGTCAGTCACAAAGCGCACTCGACAGCCTAAAAGATTTGCTTCAGCAGATCCTAAAACTTGGGCAGCAGCAAAGTTTTACCAATGCCGCCATTCTGGACGTACAAAAATAAGCTTCCGGGAGTCGCCATTTTCTCTCCACAAATACCTACGAGGGCCCAAAGTAGCTTAGCAATCCAAATTCGAAGCGAGCATATCGGGCTCAATTCGTCTTTGCATAGAAGAAAAGTACCAGGAGTCTACAATCCATGCTGTCCGTGTGGCTACCAATCACAAAATCCCAAACACATGATCATGTCCTGCCCTAAGTGGTCAATTGGTAGAGGAGAAATCTGGAGACAAGCCCGAAATCGCTCCTTTGAAGCAATGAACAACAATCCTAGCGATATGAAAAGAATCACACGATGGATTCTTAATCATGGTTGGATAGAACAATTCCGCTTGACAAATGCAGTCGAAATGCCGCTTAGGGAACGAGACGGAACATGTAGAAGGTTGGGGTCGATAGAAGGGACGTGATTGGTACACATCGACGGCGTTACAGTGTAACTGTACTTCCTGAAGGATAACCTGCAAACTATAAGAATTAAATCAGAAAGCTTGGGGGGTTTTCACCAAGAGGTTTCCTCCTAAGTAAATATATAGATAGGTTTATAGCCACCTGCATGGGCCCACAGGGCGCCAAATCAGGATAATGAACACAAATCAAAAACTCAGTAAAAATAACTTGACTCTTTCTTCCGAGCATCGGTCCCCAGAAGTTATCACTTCTCTAGGTGGACCGTGCGTTCAACTAGCTAATTTAAAGTACTCTATTATTGGACCCAGTATATCCAAATGTGAACCAAACATCAAATAAACCTTAGATACTTCCTAATGTCTAATAATTTACGCCATCAATGAAATAACGGTACAAGAGAGCTGCATCGCTCGTCGCACTGGTATATAAATCTACAACGTCTGACTGTTGCAATACAGGATCAGAAGGAACTCGATGTTTCGAAAGCATGACTAAAAATTCATAAATAGCGTTACTCTGTTGATCCCCGAGCCTCGGAATTATAATGTGTTGTTTTTCTGACTGTTGCAAAATAACCTTGAGGGTGCCAGCAACAGTAATAAGGTAAGCTTTCTTACCCTGACTTCTCGCCGACGCAAGGATCCGAAAATCATCCGCAATGGTAAGTATTGGGACAGTTTTGTCTGCTATAATGCACGGGATCTGTGGGTCATATGTACAATCGCTTTCCGACTTCCGAATCCTGATCTGTCCGGAGTGAATAAGCTCTATCATGAGATTGATTTTGCACTGTGCAAGACGTCCATCCAGGATGCTGCTAATGCTTACAGCTCTGCCCCTACCCGCGTGCCTTAATTCCTCAACACAAGCCGCTTGCCTATTGATCGTAATGGATTTGATTTCTATCCTTTCGTCCTCACTTTCGAGTTCGCGAGTAAAAGCACCGTAGCTGTCAAGAAAATCTTGACTGTCTTTCATGATGTAGTGTCCGGATGGATTAAGAAAGTAATTGATTCGTGATTTGGTGTATTCAAAGTCTTGGAGGAACTTCCCACCAATCTGAGTCCAAAACTTTTCCGGAGTTCGATTGCTGAAGTATTGGATAGACGCCCCTTGATCTGCAGGGTAGACCATATTATAATTATACAAATTTTTATTCTTGAGCATTCCTGCTTTTAATATAAGAAGGAAAAAAGGGTGTTGCATGATTACTGCTTGCGACGGTTATTATTAGTGGTTGTTATTTGTGAAAGCAACTGTTGGCAGGATTAGCCCTAGTTTTCTAAGCCAATATAATAAATAACCAACAAAATAGGCAAACAAATAATCTGACGACCCAGCTTTGAGTTGACGGCAAGTTTTGGCGGCGGTTAACACTGATTTAGCTAGAAAGGTCCTGCTACAGTTTCGCGATAGACTGTTTATGAGGTCAAAGAATTCAAGAAATTACTGAGCGGAGATGAATGATATTAAAAGGCACGGTGCTAGTTCCCATAAATGACCAAGATGCCGAAAGAGACCCAAGATATCCTAAGATTGGTGCGTGAATCTTAAATTTACCCTTAATACCTCTACTCATGTCATGGAAGGATCATTTTCTTATATCCATTATTAATTGAAAGACGGTTTCATTAAAGTTCATTGAAGACCTGTACCCGTTACACCCGTGCAGTTGCGCTGAATTGGGTGATGACTTGACCAACTACAAGATATCGAGTACAGCATCCACGTAGTCCAACACACTACAACCTGATTGCGATATTTGTGTTCGCTGGTGTCGGCAGTTCCTCTTCCCAGCAGACGGTGCCAAGCCCAGAAAGCTTAAGCGCGCGGAGAGTCAGGTCAAGTAATCGGCCACTGTCACTCGAAATTAGGACTTCTCAAATACCAGTCAGCGGGACAAATTTAGTAACCGGAAAGAAATCATTCTGCGACCGGGACTTGCATCACAGAGGAAATGGAAAAGGGCATCATGGACCCACCAAAGTAGCCGATATCTATTTTGGATTCAATCGAAAATTCGGCCGAATCATTGAGCTGACCATTCCTCTTCAGTTTCAGCCATTATGTAGATTAAGTTGACCACTAGGAACCGCATCATGATGACGGCGCGACTCATCTCGGTGTGCGTATGGAGAACAATTCGTTCTCAAAGTACAGGGTAAAATGGGCATGACACTCGTCAAATCAAAATTCGATTAAAGGGAAGACAGAGAGGGGATTACTGTCAGCATTGTGCCCGATGAGCCATCAAACGTCACCATCGACGACAGAGGCGAACGTGGGTCAATTATCAAGCTGTAGAGCCTCCGCTGACGATGGAGGCAAAGATATCTCGATCGCATACTCGCCGAAAGGAATTCGGTAATACTGACTTGTTACACCTACTTTTTCAGTGAGAGCCGTTATTAAATCCTCCAACGTTGAGTTCTTCCGCTATCCTGTTTTCTTACTCATCTCAAGAGCTATGACATGGCTACTTTGGTTTTTCTCGGAAGAAGACGATTGATGTTCTTCAAAGAAGTTTGGATGCTGAGGCTAGTTCTCTTAGGCATGCAAAAGTGTGCGAGGCTTGACCTTGTGAACTAGTCAGATGCATTAGTTATAGGACCAAACTCCTGGCTCAGGGCCCATGTCAGTGATAGAGAAGCACTGTGATAGGACAGATTCGCGAGGTGTCCATTTAAATCTTATGAACTTGCGTTAATAACTCAAATATTGTTAGAATTGGAATAATTGGGGCTATCAAGTAGGCCACGTTGTTGATGCACACGTGACTACCGAAGTGATACTAATACTTCCATTGCAGTGAGTCTAAAGAAGGTAGATAGGAAGCATTTAAAGGCATTATGTCATTGAAACTAGAGATATTGTTCAATACAAAAATAGGAAAAGAGGCAGCTCTCCTCTTCCTTCGAAGCACAGGATGTATGAAAGCATGCAAAGATGATTAATAGGGTGAGGATTAGAAGATAAGCAGAGGGAGTGTAGTTTAAATATTTTTATTTAGAAATAAAATAATTAGATATGTCATATCTAGATAGCTGAATACACTGTGAATTAAAAAAAGAAGTGGAACTAAGTACATAATTTTAGTCACGTGTGTATCAAAAATGCGCCCTTCTTGACAGTCCCAATTATATAAATATCTCCACGCCAAGAGCGTCTTTTGTCTCAGTAGGGACTTAATAGGGCCACGCATCAAGCGTGTGGCTCGCTAGACGTAAAATAAAGATCATCATCATCATCATCTCCACGCCAAACGTTCTGTAGAAGACTTAGAGGCCGGGTTAGTCCTGTGTGACTTCTCTGCGTCAAATATTTAGAAATGAATGTTGAAGCATCAGTCACTGAGCCTTAGAAGACATGTGACTTGATCTGTAAACCGGCCTAAACTAGGGTGGATAGAATAGAATAGAATGTATGTCACTATGGTAGGGTGTATAGAATGTATCATAAATGTAGAACTTAGTGGTCAGTACAATTATATACGCAATAAGCTTTAGGCATTTACCAGCAGTACAGTTTTCTAACAATATCTTCCTCCAATAATAAATGATAAACTTCTCCCAGTCATCATGTCCCCACTGGGTTGGGGCAATCGCCTTCGCCTTCGCCTGCTAGACAACAAAAATAAATCAACCTCTCTTCTGCCTTACTCCTGCGGGGCTAACTGGTCATCCACTCACTTAGTTTTGGCCCCCTTGTACGAGAGAGACTGGCTTCCGCCGGCGACGAACGGAGTAGAGGATCACTCGATTTTCCCCTCAGCACCTCCCCAGAAGCTAAGCGTCTCGCCACCACTTTGGAGAAGGTATTGAAATGTATAACCCACTACTTACTTCGTGGACTTGTTAGTAGAGGGAAGCTTGTGCAATAATGAAGGATAAGAGGATGTCAATTAGACTACTCTCCCAAACACAGTCACCAGACTCCTTTTAATCCCAATAGCTAGTTCGTGCGGGATCTCCTATTAACAGCAGTAGACAACGCTGCCATAGAGAGTGCAGGCGACACTAAACACCGATATGGTTGGATGGTGCGGTGGTACATTGTCTTGGCCGGTCTGCCAAGTAGAGTCTGGATAGCTCGGACACTTATCCCACTGGAGACAGGACATGCATGGTTGGAATCTAGCCAATCACACTACGTTTCTTGCGGCACTGGTATGCTGGGATAATCAGAGGTTTTGAAATTCCCTTTGATGGGTACTTACGGAGGAGGGTCGACTGTTCATGTGAGCAAACATACCCCATAGTGGTACTTGCGAGTATAATCTAGTATGAGTGCCTCTGGTGCCAAAAGACCCATCCAACAAATATACAAAGCACAGATCAAGTGAGATTACTAGATAGCTGAATACACCTTAATAGTTTAAAAGTGCTAGGTAATTAGCACCATTGTTAAGATTGTGAGCACATAGGGGTTGAATCTCTACTCTGGAAGGATGCTGTATGTGCTTGTAGAACACCAAAGTGTAGGTATCAAGAAGACTTGTATTGATTGAAGAGCGATAGTGTTTGGATGACTTGTTTTCTCCTCTTTCTTTTTTTCGGAAAATCATTGAGTATATGCAGCCTATCTAGCCATGAGACCATTTTACAAAATCAAAACAAATACAAATTCCTTAGTCTAGACTACTTGACTTTTGAGTGCTTTGACAATGCCGGGCCCGTGCCAGGAACTGTTGACATTAAATCTCTTCTATCGGAGTTCCCAAAGCTGACTCGGCCTCCGCTCAATACCGTCTCCCTTCCCGGCTTTCCACGAACTCCGATACATAAACAAATAATTCAAATTTCCCAATTTGGCGCCTTGAGGTCCATGCAGGCTTCATCGGAAGTCATGTACTTTGAGTAAGATGATTCAATTTGACGCTAAGAACACTCACACCCAGATATCATTTGCAGATACCATTCGAGGTTAGTGTCACGGCAGTAGAATAGTAGTTGGCGTGGTTTGAGATTAAGCGATAACTGAGCCTCTAAAGACCTTCGTGTAGCTAGATAGTCTCTTCCCTTCTCATCGCACAACTCATATATAATATTTACCTCGTTCTTTGTACCCTCGCCCTGTGACAGTTAGCCCTTACGGCGTATAACCACTTCCGCACATACCCACCACAGGGAAAAGCGTGAAAACCCCATTATTATCCGAGTGTGCTTTCATCATCCCACAGGTACAGTATGATCGCGAGAGGGAGTGGTGTGTTGGTCTTACTGGATTCGAACCAGCTTTCTCCTGTCTCAAATGGGATAGGTGTTCAAGCTACCCAGAATCTACTTGGGAGAATTCCACGCATCCGTAATTAGAATCTTAATACTAATATTAACTCGTGATAATATGAAGGGCTAGTTAATTAAAACCATCAATTTCATAATGGCTTCCCCTATACAATTAGTCATGCAAAACGTCATGTAAGGATATGCGAGAGTCATGAAGAGAAGGACAAGAACACAGCCATTGATGCGAAGATAATGGCAAGAATTGATTACGAGTAATCCCGGCTGGCAAATGCCTCTACTATTGTATATAATAGTTCAGTGTGAGAAACATCTACTTCTCACGCAACGCCTTCTTCATTTACCCTTTACATTACATTTGTTTACCCAGTTCTTCATCAGCAAGACCCACGTGTAATATCTACTGCAACTATTTGCCCATTCATCTTTTTTTTTTGCATCAGATTTTAATTGCGTATGCAGCTATCTAGCTATGACACAATATCAGAGAATTGTATGATAGATGACTCAATTTACAAGAAGAGCACTCATGCCTCGGATTTCATTTGCAAGTACCACTGCGAAGTTATGGTGGCTTTTTCTTCACCCCAAGTCAACCCTCATCCGTGAATACCCACCCAGGGGAACATCTCAAAAACCCTGGGTTATCCAGACATGCCTCCATCATCTTTCAACTTTTCTCCGCGCGATATGTGATCTGAGGTGTCTCCTTCCCAAGTGGAGTAGGTGCCCAGGCTACTCAAACTATACCAGTGAACACCACCAGGAGGCGGACCACAACACCTTCCATCGTTTGCTTGTTTTTATAGTGTCAGCTGCACTCTCGTAAGCGAAGTCTTGGCGCGCACAAAGCCCAATTCGTGAAACTCTTGCCAAAATCCGATATTTCACGCCCGTCGAAAACGTATCCCTCTTCTGCATCATCTTGTAAACTTGTCCTGATCCCTCTCACGTCCATCCCAA